ATGTCACAGACCACACTGTGCATGTCATGAATTGCTACCACTACAAAGTGCTGGGTCCCACCTTCTAGGCTCAGCAGTCCAGAATCCCTTGGGACAAGCAATTCATTCACTTCATTTTATTGTTGTTTCCTAAGCCATCCAGCTCATATTATACAGCTACTTGGACTTTTCCTACAACTGGAGCCCACCACAAGGGATTCTGCTGTTGCTTCCAGAAGGTCACTCAGGCACACCACCAAATGCACCAAACTAGAAAATTTATGCCTGCACTTTTGCAACCTCAACCTGTCAGAAGACTCTGACCTCTTCTGCCCTGTTTCACCCATAACACTGGATCATGCACAATTACCTGCTGACATTCTGTGGGTACTACCTGTGATCACTCCTCCTGATATTTTGGCAGATCAGATACCCATTGTGCCAGATCACCTGGATCTCACTGCCCCTGATTTTCCCAGTGGCTTTATCCACTTGACTCCCTGAAGACCTGAAACCCTGCCATCACCTTTAACACCTCTCACATTGTCTGATTCATCATCACTGACACCCTCTTTTTCCTGTCTCTTTGATGCCTCTGAACCTATACCCAGAATCTCAGTTCCATCTGCCACACTGCCACAACCACTCATTCAGTCACAGACCACCCATCAGCCAATTAGTAACCTGCCAGTTCATTCATGCATGATACCACCCACTCTGCATCCACAACCAATACCCACTCCTCCCATTACCAATCTGGCACTGCCACCACAGGTTAACCCACCAATGGCTAATCCCCAATTTCGGGTGCCACTCTGCAGTACACAAAACTCACCTAAATTTAGTGGAGATTCCCCTGCACACCCATGGCCAATGACTGGGATGCCTTTGTAGCCACTGTTAAGGGCTTGTACCCTGGCTGTGAGGGTGATGACTGCTACTGCCATGCAGACTTGCAGTACCTTGTCAAAGAATATCAGTCCAAGCCCATGTGAAACCAGGATGACCTTGGAGAATACCAGCAGAAATTCACTAAGATTTCTGCCCTGCTCATTAAAACTAACAAGCTTGCAGAGACAGAACAGGATTCCATGTTCCTGAATGGCTTCCCAAGGGCCATTGCAGATTGTATTCATCACCAACTCTCCATTGTCTGCACTGACCTCCACCCAGATGACCCATACCCACTTGCAGAAGTCATCAAAGCTTCCAAGTTTCTTCTGACAGGATCTGCTCTCCATAGTGCACTACCAACATTGGCTGCCATGGCCTCACCAGCTTACATGCCACAAGTGCCACCTGCTGGCACTGTCATTAAACAAGAATACAACTTCCAGCCACAGCACCTGCCACAGCAATGCAGACCCAGCTGCAGATTCTGTGCAGACCCCAGGCACTGGACAAGGATGTGCACTGTAGGAAATGGGATTTAAGAGTGTGAAGACTGGGTGATGGATTATCTGAGGGGATGAGTAAGCCAAAGGGGCTTCTATAACCTGGGACTGGATCCTGGTAGTCATCTGAAGGCTTCTATGGCTGTCTTGGTGCAGGGAATGACCTGCTTGAACTCATCTCTTGTCTTAGGGTAACTCATCTATTTTTTCTAAAGGAAAAAACCATACACAAGTAGCACTACTGCTGACTAAGCAACTAAAAATGCGAAATCTAAGTGCAACTCTTAGAAAAAAGTATCTAGAATGAAAATGAAGTAAAACAAGCAAAATAAGGCAATTCCCTACAGTGCACTCATTGAAGTTTATATCTGCACTGGTAAGATCATGAGGGGAACAGACAACCATCTCTATCCTGCAGACAGAAGCTGAATTCTGCACTTCCCTGAATGTAACTCACTGAGAGAGGCTGTTGACCACATTGTGGCTGACAGAGACCAGGCCAGTGCACATGCTGTGACTCCTGCTGCTCTGTGCAACACAGCTGCACAAGGCACCACTAATCTTTTCTATGTTGCTCATCCTGAAGTCAACATGCAGTTGGAGATCTGGCCTTCTGCCTTCTTAAACACTGTCCAAGAGGTTACCATTGCACAGTGACCATCTCATGACTATGACCTCTGCTAACATGTCTAAAGACACTACTGTAGGCATTTTAGAGAACCTGAAACTCAACTTTGGAGCCAGGCCAGTCATGCTCCAGGTTCAGGTAATTGAACATGCCAACTTCAACATGCTTCTCAGGTGTCCATTCATCTGCCCTATGAGCACAGTAACAAATGACTATCCTGATGGCAGACAGTGGATTACTCTCCATGACCCAAATGATGGCCACAAGTATGCTCTGCCCACACACCCATGGCACAAGGGCTGCCCATGCTGTAAGTGCAGCAAACACTGCCATAGTCACCAGAGCATTGTTGAATGGGGTTTTTGAGTATTGATGATCCACCAAACAGTCAGGGAGAGCCTACTAAGATGTCCTGTTTCCTATTCAGCTGCTGTTATCCATTCCTCAGTCCCACAGTTTCATCTCTGGCCTTCACCTCAATGAACTTCCCTTCACTCACAGCACTCATACCATGGAACATACCCACTGGAATACCCTCACCCACTGTGAGTCAAAGTGTGGTTCAGTGGTGAAAACCAACCAAAACCAACACAAAAGACAAAAAGAGCAAGTGGTGGTGTGCCTATGTGATACCTAGATGGTAGAACCTGTTCTTTGGGAGGGTTTTTGTGAGCTACAGCACTCAAAGACAAGTGCTGAGGGATGGGGGTGCTCCTGATGAAGAGGGAGCAAGAATGTGATAGAAAGTGATAGGGTAGACTGCTGTCAGCCTACAGAAGGATGGATGACGACTTAATTCAATGCTCTGAGCTGCTCTGAGCTCAGGGAGGGCTTGGAGTGAAGTATATTGATGATAGACAAGGATAAGTGAAGTAGACAATAGTTAGACCCTTAATAAAGTCTCAACTATTGAAGCTGCTGAATGAATTACTGAGTGATGATAAAATGCAAGCAAGAGGGGCTCTCTGACATCTTTTTCTCTCTTTTTGCTATCTAAGTACAGTGATGTGTATACAGTACAGGGGTGTTGCCCTTGGAAAACAAGGTGCAATCACTTGGTAAGTGATTGGTAACTGATGAGTAAGGGATGTAAGCAATGGATAATCATCTTGGAAAGCATTGGTAAGCATTGGTAAGGATAAGCAAGCCAAAAGGTGAAGGATCAGTAAGCAAAGTCAAAAGATTGGTAAGTATTGGCAATAGGTGAGTCAAAGACAGTCAAAACATCAAAGTATGAGTCAAGTAATGTCAGGAACTGGGAAAGTGCACTGGAACTGCATTAGGGGGAGGCTGTGCATGTCACATCTCAAAGAGATCACTTCTAGGCCAAGGTGGGATGACAGAGAGGCAGCACTGATCTGATGCCAATATAGTACATCCAAAAGTGGACAGGGTGAGTCAGATGTCAACAGGGGTCAAGCTTTGGGGGTCTGTGGGGTGACAGGAGCATAGGGGATCACAACTTTCCCCCCCAAACCATCCTCTCAGTGAAGCAAGTAAAACTTCATGAATGTGGCTCTGTTGGAAGAGAGGATGAAGGGGGAGTGTCTTCTGCTGTATCTTGCAACAAGGAGGCAAGATGTGCATCATACTCATCATGAATGCAATCAGGGAGAGTGGAGAACAGTAGATTATACTGTAGCTGTCACAATCTTGGAAGAATGATGGATACAACTGGTATGAAGACATTGCAGGGAGCAGGGAGGAAGGATCCATATGCTTCTTGGACCAGAGAGACTGAAACAACCACATAAGACCTTTCCAAGTGAATGACAGACCTGAGGCAACCAAGGAACATCCTCCTAGAGGTCATACTGACAAAAAGAACACACTGTCCAAGCTGGATGGGCTGAGAGGGTGCAGACAAGGGTGGGATGTACCAGGATGCTTCAGGATGGAAGCTGGTAGGAACTCCTGGTAGATATATGTAGCCATGGTCCCTAGCAAAGGGGACAAGCAAAATGAGTGACATGGAGGTGGCCATATCAGAAGAATTAGTGAAATGAGTGTCTTTTGGAGGGAGTGCTGTAGAAATGTGTGGAGTGTGCAAATCCTTTCCAATTTTGGAAGGTAGGATCATGTGGCTGAGCACTACAAGCAAGTGTGGGAATGGTCTCAGTATCTGCAGAGACAGTGGAGATATGTCAAAAACCAGAATGCCATACACAGGTGCTTAAGAATTTTAACCAGTGCTTAACTCACTCCCTTTCTTTTTCTTTGGCACTGATGACTCATTCTTGTGCAAGGGATGACTGCTGACATTTCTGGCTGTCCTTCTTTGCATGATGGCTATGGTCTTCATCTCCATTCATCAGCTGTATCTATGTCCACCTCACCAAACACCTTTGGTGTGTGACACCACTTTCACTTTCCTCTCCTCCACTCAGACCATACTAAACCCCTCTGCTATAGCCACTTTTGACAGCATTTACCAATGAGACCCCACAGTTCGGACTCTCATTTATAAGCCAGTTGCCAAGAAGGTTTGGACAGTACCTACCCCAATGGTGGAAGAATACTGCATCATGCACAGCCTGCCTGACAATCCACTCACTGGTCTCCAACCACTTCCAACACATCTGCCACTTCACTGCTGAATGTGGCCACTCATTGGTAGACACACCTGTCTATGCCTTCTTACCCACAGACTTGTTCAATTTTTCACACCCCTGCTTCATGCACACACAGCCATCACACATCTGCCCCATGGGTCCAGTGCAAGCTGCCTTCTTCACCATGCACCACACACAGGGGACCTTGTGGAGGATCGAGCCAGGTGGAACAATGATCTTGGGCTCATCCTCACCTTTGCTCTCTGCAACAGTCTGCCACAATCACTTTGGATTCCAGTATCAGCTGCTACCACACCATTCAAACTGCACACTTCCCTTCCAAACAGGCTGGGACACCACCTCCACATGTGACATCTTCTCTGTTGCCACTAGCACTGTGACACTCACACCCCACTCTCCTGCCTCCTGCATGACCTTCTCTTCTATTCACATGTCCTCATCACTGCCCCCATGCACTGCTGCTGCAACCTCCTCTGCAGACCACCTCTGATCAGCCTCATCAGCCTCTGCAATAGTGGGCCCATCTGCTGCATCTATCTTGACATCAATGTCCAGCTCTTGCCCACACTCAATGATGGAGTACACTTCAACCTGGAAGACTGTCAATGCCATGGGTCTCAAATGAACTGCCCACTCACTGTTCTCTCCTCCCATTGGTGAATCCACATCACCTTCTCCTCCCACAGCTCCTCCCTGTTGTTGGGAAGACATTTGGCCTCTGCAACCAGAGCCATGGAGGCAGTCACAAACCTTGCCCTAAGTGTGACCTTCTCTGCCTTGATCAGGTTGGGTGTTGCCATGCATACGAGCTGGGAAAGTTGGGGGGCATGGTTAGCAGACATGATGAGGGTGTTAGAGACAATTGATGGGGGGGAAAGAATTGAATCAATGCAAAGGTTTGAGCTGCACAGTAACAATTATATACTTAGTGGCCATGAGGTGCTTATGTCATCAGCCCAGACACCTATATGTGGCATTCAATGGTCTTCTCACATTCCTTGGCTCCATGCTTCCTTTGTTTCTATGTGGAATCCTCCAGTGTTCTCAAACCCTCAGCACCACACCTTTGCCATCACCATGTGGCAAAGTTATTTACATCCTCCATGCCACATGGCTGACCAGGGACAGTCAGCATCTAAGTCCCCTGCAGGTGTAGGGAATCCACATTCCCTGGATGTGTAAGCCCCTATCATTGACTGTTCTGTGATTACCATTACATCCCCTCACTGCTCACATCCACTTCTGTTCACATGCTGTCTTCCTGCCTACCTTGCTACCTTCCCACTGTTGTATATTCTGTCTTTCACATTATGCTTTCATCCACTTAGTATTATGGTACACATTTAGCCATATTACATAATCATGTTCATTTTCACACTCAAGTAGCATAGTCACACCTCAGTTGGCTACTTAACCCAACTGAGGTGAGCACTTTCCACATTCTGTCTTTACACTCTGCTAATAGTCCTGTAGTATATATTCTACAGGTTATGAGCCCTGATGCTCACTAACTGGGAACTTGTAGCAACATGTTGTTCACATCCAAGCTTGGAGATGATTTCCTTAAGGTCCCAAAGCTCTCAGCAGATGGAGAGAACTGGGTAACAAATAAGGACAGGCTAATGTGGTCTTTGGATTCTTGTGGGCTGCTTGGGTACATAGATGGTACTGAGACAATGCCAGTCAACCCCAAGACACTACCAAACAGGAGTGAGAGCTGGATACCTATCTCTGCAGAGGAGAAAAAGGAAGTGACAAACCACCAAGCTACTCTAAAAGAATGGAGGCTTGGCCAAGCCATTGTGAAGCAACAAATCACCAGCATGATCCCTGACACACTGTTCATCCAAATAAAGAGTCTCACTAATGCACTCAGCATCTGGACATACCAATCCAACCTCTTTGAGAAGTGCTCTTGTGTTGTATCAGTTGAACTGCTGAAGAAGCTCCAAACTATAAAATGCATGGAGAAAGGAAATGTCAGGGAACACTTCAACAAAATGTGGCAACTGAACAAACAACTTGCCTCAATGGGCCAAGTCCGACAGACAAAAGCTACATGACTATGGTCATGACATCCCTCCCAAGCTCTTATGACTCTGTCATCAGAGCAATGTCCACACTCACAAAAGTTTCCACCTCCACTACCCTAACAACTGTGACTCTCATGGATGCAGTACAAGATGAGTATGACTGCTGTGCCACAAAGCAGAAGAAGTCTAGCAATGCAGATGACACAGCATACTCAGCTGGAGGAAAGCAGAAGTTCACTGGAACTTGCTACAAATGTGGAAAATGTGGGCACTGAGTTCATGAATGCAGGTCAAGTGGGGATGACTCACAAAGTGGAGGGAAGTCTCCAAACAAAGGGAAGCAAAAAGAGCATGCAGCAGTGGCCAAGGATGACAGTGGCAATGACCCAGATGGGGTATGGCTCACACATATCAATGACAGCTATGAAGCTGAGGTTGATGAAGCTCAACCATCCCCAGAGACATTTGCTACTAGTGTGTACACAAGACCACCAAGCTACACTACTCTATATGAGTCTGGAGCCTCTTGTCACATGTCATCATACAAGGATAACTTTGTCAACTATAAGCCCATTACTCCTAAACCCATTACTGCAGCAGACAAACAAACCTTTGAAGCTATTGGAAAAGGAGATGTGTACATATCCCTACCAAATGGCAACTCACCCACTTGTATCCTCTTGAAGGATGTTCTGCATACACCTAAGATTGGCATGACCCTGGTACCCATTAGCTGCCTGGATGCAAGTGGATATGCCATACTCTTCCATGACTCACACTGCAAGATCTTTAATGGACAAAAGAAACTCCTTGGGGAAGTACCAGTCAGCAGTGGCCTCTATACAACCAAAGCCATGCAGAAGGTTTACACAGGCTTGGCAAACTTGAGAGTAACCCTTACAATGGAAGATATCCATGCACAGCTCAGCCATATATCACCAGACACTATTAAACAAATGCTAAAGGATGGCATTGTAACCAGAATAAGCCTAGACCCTTCCCATGCAACAATTGAATCTTGCAATGCATGTGAGTATGCCAAGGCAACCCAAAAACCCATAGGAAAAATCCAAGACCCCCCACACTGAGACAAGGTTGGTGATGAAATCCATATGGACTTATGGGGACCATCCCCTGTCCAAACAAATGCAAGGAGTCAGTATTTTGTGTCATACACTGATGACTATACTTGCTTTACAAGCCTGTACCTCCTGAAGTCAAAGGACAAAACCTTTGAGTCCTACCAGAAGTATGAAGCCTGGCTACTGATGCAGTTCAACATGAAGGTTAAAAGGCTTCACTCAGACCAGGGTGGGGAATTCCTAAGCAAAGAGTTTTCACATCATCTCAAGCTAAAAGGAACAGAGAGGAAGCTCACAGTGCATGATACACCACAGCATAATGGTGTCACTGAAAGGCTGAACTGCACACTTGTCAAACATGTACATGCCATGCTAAATGCAAGCAGCCTCCCAAAGTTGCTATTGGGAGAAGCCATAATGCATGCAAACTGGCTAAAGAACTGAACCTCCACCTGCACACTCAACAAAACAACACCCTATGAAATGCTGTATAAAAAGAAACCAGATCTATCTAATCTACTGATCTGGGGCTGCCATGTCAAAGTCCACACAGCAGATGGTTCAAAACTAGACATGCATGCAAAAGATGGTTGCTGGGTGGGCTTTGATAAGGACACAAATGTGCACAGTATTTATTTCAAGGACTCATGACATGTGAGTGTTGAACAAAATGTCTGATTCAGCTCACAAGAGGTCACCATTCCTATCAGCATGCAGCTTGAGGGGGAGAAATACATCACAGATGATGAGGGAGCACCATCCACCTCGCACATAGCTGGTAAAAGCAATCAGCATGCCATATAAACCACAGAAAGCACACCTATGACACCAAGTACTCCCATTGACCACCTTGGACTGAGATTTGAACCCACAGCACCCACCCATCACTCTGGTCACACATGCATTGAGTCAGCATATGTACAGCACCTGCATGAGGGCAAGGGTACATACAATGGATGAATCCCACTACCTACACTACCACTACCTCAAGGAATACAACCAGGCTCGCAACAAGAGGAGAATAGAGAGACAGCAAACCTGGGCATGATGGGGGTGATGGACAAAGATGATGAAGAAGTTTTTGCCTTGGTTGCTGGGACTGTAGAGCTAGAAGGGACAGATCCCATCATGATTGAAGACACTCATGCAAGACCTGATTGGTCAAAGTGGGAGGAAGCAATTAATAAAGAACTTACCTCATTGGACAAAGCACAAATGTGGACCATTGTTGAGGGACTGCAAGGTGTCAACATGGTTGGCTGTAAATGGGTATTTCACATCAAGTGCAACACACAGGGAGAAATTGAAAAATACAAAGCACCACTTGTAGCAGAAGGCTACTTGCAGGTCCATGGCATTGACTACTATGATACCTATGCACCCATCACACACATGGAATCTATCCACACCATCCTTGCTATTGCAGTGCAGAATGACTGGGATGTTGATGTTTTCGACTTCCAGAGTGCTTTCCTAAATGGGAAGTTGGATGATGACAAAGTAATCTACATGCAACTGCCACCTGGACTCTCAGTTAACAGCAAATATAAAATTCCTGTCACCTGACTGCACATAGCACTTTATGGATCAAAGCAAGGAGCATTGAAGTGGTATGAGTGGCTGTGCACCACACTTGCTATGCTCAGTATGTGTCATGCTGAAGCTGACTGGGGTGTTTTCTTCATGCACACAGGCTGGGACATCCTACACCTTGCATTGCACATCAACAACTGCTCCATTACTGGCAATAACCCTAGCTTAATCAAAAGGTTCAAATCTGAAGTGGCCACAAACTTCAAATTAACAGATTTAGGCCCCACCTCATCCCTACTCAGAATAAAAGTCATGCATAATTGCTCAGCACACATGCTCTCACTCTTTCAGGCATCCTACATCGATTCTATGCTGTTAAAATATAATTTTGTAGATCTATGGCCTGTTGCAATGCCTATGGACCCCTCAGTCCAATTCTCAACTGCCCAGTGCCCTGAAAATGCACACTGAGGCTGCATGCATGAAAAACATGCCATATTGCGAAGCCATCAGCTCACTGATGCACCTAGCAGTCACCACATGCCCTGACATGGCTTTTTCTGTTGCAACATTGTCACAATTCCTGCAATAATCCTGGGTTAGCACACTGGGAGGGTGTAAAATGGATATTTAGATACCTTTTAGGCATGAAAGGGCTTGCATTGATGTTCAGAGGTGATAGGTATGGCCTTGAGGGCTATATGGACACAGATGGCGCCTCACAGGAGCACTGGCATGCCATTTCTAGCTATGCCTTCCTGCTCAATGGCGGAGTGATCTCCTGGGCCTCAAAGAAACAATCATTACTTTATCTACTACAGAAGCTGAGTATGTTGCCACTACTCATGCAGCAAAAGAAGCCATCTGGCTTCATCACCTCATCCAAGAATTGTTCTGCCCACTCTCACTCCCAACCATAATCCATTGTGACAATCAGTCTGCAATTGCACTCACTCACCATGGCAATTACCATGCCCATACAAAACACATAGACATTCATTATCATTTTATATGCTATGCTATTGATAATGGCTTGCTTCACCTCATCTACTGTACTACTGGCAGTATGGTTGCAGATACCCTTACCAAGGCTCTTCCAAACATCAAAGTCAAGCACTTTGCTTATGAGCTTGGACTCCATGGTGTTTGAGGGGGAGTGTTGTACATTCTGCCTTTCACATTATGCTTTCATCCACTTAGTATTATGGTACACATTTAGCCATATTACATAATCATGTTCATTTTCACACTCAAGTAGCATAGTCACACCTCAGTTGGCTACTTAACCCAACTGAGGTGAGCACTTTCCACATTCTGTCTTTACACTCTGCTAATAGTCCTGTAGTATATATTCTACACCCACACCCTCACTCCCTCTCATGCAATGCTATACCTGCAGCCACTGTGCTCCAGTCTCATCCTTTCCTCAGACTCTTTTCTTTTTGCCATGGTCACTTTCCCTTTACACTAGTAGTATACCCTCAGCCCCTATTCAGCCTGTCTTATGTGTATGCACTGTCATGTGGTTTTCCCTTACTTGTACTCTGTCTTACTTAGGTTCTGGGTTTTCCTGGACTATAAAGCCCTGTACTTAGGTGCAGAATGATACCTTTTGGCACTTGGAAGGTCACTACAAGTTTCTTTTTCACTTTGTCTACACCACACATCTTGCATACCACTGTGCACAAACTACACATACTGCTCACACCACTTGCATTGCCAGTACTACTCTGCAGACCATGCCATGCATGTCATGAATTGCTACTGCTACAAAGTGCTGGGTCCCACCTTCTAGGCTTGGCAGTCCAGAATCCCTTGGGATGAGCAATTCATTCCCTTCATTTTATTGTTGTTTCCTAAGCCATCTAGCTCATATTATACAGCTACTTGGACTTTTCCTACACTGCCTTGGTGTTGTGACAGGGGTGTAACCTACCAGGATGGGCCCATCCATGTCTTACAGCAGCTCAGTATTCTTAATTGGTCATGGGCCTGTCTAAATGTTTCAACATCCTTACCCATCACAGGCCCTCCCATTTGTTGTGGTAATGCACTTATGGGCCTGTACATATGTTGCTCTCACTTTAGTCCCTTGGGCCTGTCCATGCATACTGGCTAATCTGTTTAGGTGGGCCTGTCTTGGGGTCTATATAAGTGTTGGTGTTTTGGTGCACAGGCTGCCCATGTGTTGTGACTAAGTGTGACATCACTATGTGAGACACACTCCAAGATGAAAACTACAGGCTAAACAACAGCCTAAGAACTGCACAGGAAATGATCACAATGATTGAGGGCTAGTGTAATCAGTGGAATGCCCTCCCTGCAGATGCCATCCAAAGAAGGATTGAGGTTATGGCTGACCTGGGTCAGTACACCAGTGATCATGCCAAGTTTTCAGAATGGTGGGTCAAGATGAAGGTATGAGTTGCACAGAATAGGACTGCCCTACCAACCCCCCAGGATAAGTGTACCATGGTGTGGTCCTGCATGACTGGACCCATGGCAGGAAGGTTTTCCCAGGCTAAGTTCTCCCTCACAATTGTCACTGGGGTATGGCCAGATACAGCAGAGATGATTGAGGATATAGATCACTTCTTTGCCCCTCAGACTGATGTCAAATGGGTGAAGGCTCAGATGTGCACCATGCACCAGGACAACTCTTGCTATGAGGAGTTCTATGCAAAGTCTGAGTCCCTAAAGGTCCAGGGATGTGTTACTGATGAGACTGCTGGCTTCCTGTTGGAGAATGCTGTTCATCCTGCTATTGTAAAGGAAGCCCTAAGGAGGGGATATACCCAGGGCAATTATTTGCAGATGCCCATCACCTTCTGAGAAGCAGCTCTGGCCAGGGACCACTTCAAACTCCTCTATAATCACTACCCCAATGAACCTGCTCCCCACCTCTCCTTGTACAACTCCTCCCCCTACTCCTCCCACTTTACCCCCACAGGTACCCAACCTTGTTGTGGTGCTCCCATGGAAATCGGTGCTGCCCAGTTTCCCCCTTGCCCCATACCCTCCCATATCAAGTGCTTCAACTGTCAGGGCAATCATTATAAATGTGACTGTCCTCATGCCAAAGGGAATGGGCATGCTAGGCCTAACATACAAGAAGCAATGCAGGAGGCACAAGAGACTGCCTTGCACCAGATGTCTTTCAAGGAGATGCAAGCCTTCTTCTATGACAAGCAGATCAATGAGATGAAGGTTCAGGGAAAAGAGTTTGGCCAGTAGAGGATTGGGTCTCTTCTGGCTACATTTACAATAAGTTTCCTGTCTTAGGCATTGATGATTTCTCTACTGAGCAGGATATATTTAACTCAGAGACTACTGTACCATCTGAAGAGGCAACCACAGTGGGCATGGCTGCAGATGTAAAACTATTGGTGCTTGATTCCTCTTGCAATAAAAAAAAAATATGCCTATCCAGCTAATGAAGGAAACCCTGAAAGTAAGGACTGTAGATCTGAAAGCAGAGTTAGAGTTGGAGGTGGTGTTGGAAGGAAGAGAAAGGAAGTGAGATGTGAGCATGCTGGTGGATTCTGGTCCAAATGACACTTTCTTGGACAAAAGAGGGGCCAATGAAAATGACATTGCCCTTATCAAGCTTGGTCATCCCATTGGTGTCCTGAATGTTGATGGAACCCCTAACATTGCTGGCAATATCACACACATTGCTTCTCTTGTTATGAATTACCAAGGACATTGAGAGTCCGTCTGGGCTCAGGTCACCACACTCAGTACTCACCCCCTCATCCTTAGTTACACTTGGCTCTGCAAGCATAATCCTGAGGTTTGTTGGGAGACCAAACAGGTGAAACTGTCATGTTGCCCTTGCAAGTGTCATGACCTCACTCCAAAGACAATAAAGGAGAGATTGGCTGAAGAACAGGAGGCTCAGGATATGGAGTACCTCTATCCAAAGCTCTGCTCCACAAGGATTAGAGCTGGTACCATGGAAGAGCTTGTCCCAAAGGAGTACCACCAGTACCTTAAGGTCTTCTCGAAAGAGGAGTTGGAGAGGATGCCTCTTCACAAGCCATGGGATCATGCCATTGACCTCAAGGAAACCTTTGCTCCTAAATATGGGTGCCTCATCCCTCTCTTCACTGAGGAACAGAAAGAGGTTTTGGACTTCCTCAAGGATCAGCTACACAAGGGCTACATCCATCCTTCAAAGTCACCCCAGACCTCTCCTGTCTTCTTTTTGTCTAAGAAGGATGGCAAGAAGCGCATAGTACAGGACTACCACTACCTCAATGAGCACATGGTTAAGAATGCATACCCTCTCCCCCTCATCTCCCAGCTTGTTGATAAGCTCAAGGGCTGTAAGCTCTTCACCAAGATGGATCTCCATTGGGGATACAACAATGTTCGTGTCAACAAAGGAGATCAATGGAAGGCTGCCTTCATCACTCACAAGGGCACCTATGAACCCCTTGTCATGTATCTTGGTCTCTGCAACTCCCCTTCTACCTTCCAAAACATGATGAATGACATTTTCAGTGACACAGAGGACATCCTGGTGGTCTATATCAATGACCTTATGATCTTCACAAAGACAGATGATGAGGCTGATGTAGGGAGTGGTATACTCCCTGAGGCTGAAATAGGGATGCCAACACCAAAATTCCACCATTACAAAAGTCAACCACTATCAGAGTTCAACATCTGTCATCTTCAGAATTATTGCATCTGCCTCATGCATCTGCCTCATGCACTGCCTCACCCATTGAACCTTCAGATCAATAACACACACCAGTCATTGTCCCAGAATTCCAGGTCAACATCAACCTGACATACATCTATCTGGAATTCTGCAGCCATGTTGCCTCAACCTTTGCCTCACCACATAGCCAGGAAATCATGCAGATCATCAGTAAAAACTCCAGTCACCCCTCTTGTTCTTTTCCTGTGAACCTTTCTCTGCAATGTGAGTTCCCCTTTGCACCTATGGCCTCTACCCTTTGCATTCCACTCCACAGTACAATGTACACTTGTCCTATCAGAAGATACCCATCTTTTCCTGTTTGTTTTTTCCCAGTTACTACTTTACAGTTTATTTTCACACAATTCTGTATGGCTTTGACATCTGACACATCGCCCTCTTTGTTTTTTTTCAGAATTTTGCTTTACCTGCACCACATTTCTCCGATCAGTACCTTACTATCCATGTACTATATAATTCCGCCTCAGCAACAAAAAAAAAAAACATCATCTTTTGGGACTCACATTCTGTGTCATATGCATGTCTAAAGTGTTCAAAGGGTCTTTGCATCCTCTGTGTCTGCTGCATCTCTGTGTCCTTGTGTCACCTGTGTCTACTGTGTCTTCTGCATCTTTGTGTCCTTGATCTGCTAGCACCTCATTTCCCCTCCCATTGTAGGGAGCTGTATACTCCCTGAGGCTGGAACAGGAGTCTGTCACTAAATTCTGCTGGCCTCTGTGACAAACCCCTGTCACTCTAGGCCTTTGGATGCTTTCAGAGTTCTTCCTGCTCATAACCTCATGTTGCCTCCCAACCCCTGTCACCTTTGGAGTTTCTCCCAACCTTCAGCATGTTGCCCAGCCATCAATGAGCTGATCCAGAAATTCTGCATTCACCCAGAGTCATCTGGAATTCAGTAGCTGAGCCACCCCCAGCCACATCACCACTCACCCATGTCAGTTGCCTTTACAAAAAACTCTGGTTACCTCTGTTGCCCCAAATTCCACAAGCCAGACTTCATGCCAGTACACTCTGCCCTCTTGTGCTTCCCCCTCCCACCAACTCCACCTCTCACTGGTACATGTAACCTTGTTCTGTCAGAAGATACCCCTTACCATTGTCCCATTTTACTCTCATCTACTACTCACTGGCCCATTTCACATGCACCTGTATTTCTTTGATGTCTGTCATCCTCTCCTTTATTTTCTGGTCTTTTAGTTTTTCTGCCCCACCTTACTCCAACTCATACCTACTTCCCTTGTACTATATAATTCCACCATGATGTCAGAAATATACCAACCACCTTTAGAGTTGCTATCTGTGTGTGTTCCACAAGTTTGAGAGTTCTCAAAGTCTAAGTGCATATATTGAGCCTACAGCATCTACAGCATCTCCAGTGGTCTTCATGTCTCTTGCATCTCCCAATCCTGCACTCCTTACCCCATATCCCTCTCACCTCAAATACACTCTTCTCACTGCCAATCAGCTTCTCAGAATTTCATATACCCATCTCACTGTTCCTCACATGTCCACATCCCTCCAGAATTAAATTCTGTAACCCTCACATGTATTACCCCACCCCTTCTAGGGTAATCCTCAACTTCTCCAGCACCCCTCAGGTCAATCCTAGGGAATTCTCCCTTCAGCTTTCCTCTAGTCACACACTTCCCAGAAGTCATGTCCCACAATGTGCACTTAATTTGTCTTGGAATTACTTCATTGGGTCAAGAAGGTCACTCAGGATTTTGAAAGCAAGTTTATTCATACCCAATTCATCTACAACTCAGTGGAATTAAATTCCACACCCTACATTCAACTCCTTGACTGACTCTACCATCATATTATACATCTCCTTCCAACTCAGTACCCCTTGGGTCAAGCCTAGGGACTTCCCTACAGCTTTCCCCTATTCACATGCTACCCAGAGGTAGTGTCCCACACTGAGCATGATAGGATTGTCCTGGAGGTGCTAAGGTTGGAGGAGAACAACCTGTTTGTGAAGCTGGAGAAGTGCTTCTTCAAGCAAAAACAGGTGGAGTTCTTGGGCATGGTCATCAGCACTGATGGGGTCAAAATGGATGAAAGCAAGGTCAAGGCTATAACTGAGTGGCCAGTGCCAACAAAGGTCCATTCAGTGTGAGCCTTTTTAGGCTTGGTGAACTTTTACCATCACTTCATCAAGGACTTTGCTCAAACAGCCCATCCTCTCAATGACCTCACCAGGAAGGATCAGTTGTGGACCTGGGGTCCCAGAGAGCAACAGACCTTCAATGCTTTAAAATTTGCATTTACAACCACCCCTGTCCTTGCTTTCCCTGACCAGGATTGAGAGTTCTGCCTCAAGACTGATGCTTCAGACTTTGCCACTGGTGCTGTCCTTTCTGTAAAGTGTGAAGACAACCTTTGGTAACCTGTCACCTACAATTCCCATTCCATGTCTCCCCCTGAGAGGAACTACCAGGTTTTTGATAAGGAGATGCTTGCCATCATCCAGGTGTTGGAGACCTGGCACCATTATCTTGAGGTGACCCCTGACCAGTTTGAAGTCTGGACAGACCACTCCAATCTCCAGTATTTCATGAAGGCACAAAACCTAGACCACTGCTGGGCATGTTGGGCCCAGTATCTCTTGCACTTCAACTATAAGCTGGTCTACAAGCCCAGTTCCTCAATGGTAAAGGCAGATGCACTGTCTCAAAGGGAGGATCATGAACCAGAGAAAGGGTCAGATAACCAGGGTGTCACTCTCCTTGACCCTTCAAGGGTCACTTCCACTGTGGTGGTTGGAGAGGATGTGGATCTCATCATTGCCCTGAAGTCCACCTCTTCAGTAATGCCTCAGCCAGAGGGGTTGGTCCTCCAAGAGGGACTTTACATCTGTTCTGGGAAGGTCTATGTTCCCCCTGCTGTCTGTGTCCACTGTTTGGAGAAGCACCATGACACCCCTGTTTCTGGACATCTGGGTTGGAAGAAAACTCTGGAGCTCATGTCCCGCAACTACACCTGGCCTGGCATGACCTCCTCAGTAAAAGACTACGTGGCAGCCTGTCATTGCTGTCAGATGGCCAAAAGCTCAAGGATCCCTCCTGCCAGTAAACTCCTTCCAAACCCTGTTCCTGATCACCCCTGGACTGACATCTGCATTGACTTCATGAGCTACCTGAAGCACAGGGCTTCAACAATGTCATGGTGGTGGTCAACAGGTTCTCCAAGGAGGTGGTCTTCATGCCCACTACTAAAGAGGTCTCCTCACTACAAACTGCAGAACTCTTCCAGGACCATGTGTGGACTCAGCCTGGTCTACCTTCCTCTGTCATTTCTGATCAGGGACCACAGTTTGCCAGTATGTTTACTAGCAAACTTTGCAAAATGCTTGGTGTTAAACCCAAGCTCTCTACTGCCTTCCACCCTCAAACTGATGGTCAAACTGAGCAACTCAACCAGGATCTCCAACAGTATCTTCACCTTTTCATCAATGACAGACAGGGATCCTGGCCCTCTTAGTTAAAGGTCACTCAGTTTTCTTACAACAACAAGTGACAGGAGTCCACTGGTAAAAGCCCCTTCTCAGTTACCTGCTCTTACTCCCCATGCATGGGCATCAAACCTTTCCTCTCAAAGGTGGAGGCCACCACTGATCATGCCATGGATCTGGCCAAGGTCTTGGCAGATACCAAAAAGGCACTGGAGAAGGCCACAGACCAGATGAGGGTCAACTCTGAGGCATATCATTCAGAGACACTGGCATACTCTGTTGGGGACATGGTCTGGCTGGAAACCTCAAGGATCTCCCTTTCTGTCATCCTTCCCACAAGCTCACTGAATGATGGATTGGCCCCTACAAGGTTGTCTCACTCAAACCAAATGTGGTTGAGCTGAAGCTTCCAAAGACCCTTAAAATCCATCCAGTTGTGAACATCTCACAGGTTAAGCTGTACAAGGGACCATTGGAAGGCCAGACTGTTGCCCATCCTGGGCCAGTGGTGGGCCATGAGGGCAAT